CCCGGGGGCGGGGGCCCCCGCCTGCCAGCACTTGGCAGGGCGGGGACTGGGGCCACCTCCGCCCGCCCCCCAAGACTGGGCGCGCCCCAAGCCTGAGCTCAGTGCTGGCGTGCTGAGCGGAGGGCGCGGGCGCGACGGGGAGGTGCGGAGCCGGGTGCGCGGGAAGCGCGAGGAAGGAGAGCGCGAGCAGGGGAAGTGAGCGCGCGGCGGCAGTGCGTGCGCTCCGCTCTCGGCGCCACCGGCTGGGCCAGCCGCCCCGGGCCGGGGTCTAACCCCACCGGGAGCCTGGAGCCGGGAGCCGGGAGCTGGGAGCCGGGAGTCAGTAGAAGGAGCCCGGAGACCCGGGTGGCGTGGTCCAGTCGGTGCTTCCCGGCTGGACGGCGCTCGGGCTAGTCTAACGCACCTTCTTCGGGCTCCTCACTGCCCCGCCCCGTCGCGCCCACGCTCGCCCAGACTTCCAGCCCTGCGTCCCTAGAAAGAGCAGCGGACCTGGCGCCCACCATGCGCGTCAACAGCTCCGTGCCGGGCGCCAACCCCTTCCCAAGACCCCGGTCGGGGCTAGAGGCGGCGCTCCTGGCCACCGCCCTCCGCAACGACTCTGCCAACCAGTCGGGGCCGGTCTTCGCAGCGCCCAGCAGCGACCTGGACGTGAACACTGACATCTACTCCAAGGGGCTGGTGACTGCCGTGTACCTGGTGCTCTTTGTGGTGGGCACGGTGGGCAACTCCGTGACAGCGTGCACCCTGGCGCGCAAGAAGTCGCTGCAGGGCCTGCAGGGCACAGTGCACTACCACCTGGGCAGCCTGGCGCTGTCCGACCTGCTCACCCTGCTGCTGGCCATGCCGGTGGAGCTGTACAACTTCATCTGGGTGCACCACCCCTGGGCCTTCGGCGACGCCGTCTGCCGTGGCTACTACTTCCTGCGCGACGCCTGCACCTACGCCACGGCGCTCAACGTGGCCAGCCTGAGCGTGGAGCGCTACCTGGCCATCTGCCACCCCTTCAAGGCCAAGACCCTCATGTCCCGCAGCCGCACCAAGAAGTTCATCGGCACCATCTGGCTGGCCTCGGGGCTGCTGGCCACGCCCATGCTCTTCACCATGGGCCAGCAGAACCGCAGCGCCGACGGCCAGCACCCCGGCGGCCTGGTGTGCACGCCCATTGTCCACGCCGCCACCATCAAGGCTGTCATCCAGGTGAGCAGCCTCTTGGGAAGGTCAGCCTCGGCGCCTCCAGGGGTGTCAGGAAGCCCCCCAGGAAAGTCCTACACCCCCCGTTTCTTCAGCCCAAACCCCTGTGCTGCAGCCTTGGTCGGGGCATCGGCAATGGCTCCCAAGTCCTCTCTGGGAGGCTGAGAAGGGGCAGGGCAACTCAAGCTGCCCCTTCATCACAGTGACCAGCCAGCCCCCGGCTCATCCCCTCTTGCTGAAGGCGCCGGAACCCCAGGGCCCTCCCAGGTTTAGTGCAAACGCGTGTGCTGGTGCAGGCCTCTGCCGGAGCTGGGGGCCTTCCGTCAGCTTCCCAGAAGGCACTGTGCTCCCAAGAAGTGGCGTGTGGCCCTCCGCAGCCGGCTCCAGTGCCCCCCGCTCTGCCCTGGTCTAGACTGGGTAGTCAGAGCTGGGCCTGGTGCCCTCTCGCGTCGGTTCCTAATTCAGCCTCTGATTTTCCAGTCTGTGAAATGGGGTGATTGTACCGACCTTGGAGCCAGAACCCGAGAACTGGGGGCCATGTTGTGCAACCCCAGGTTCTGTGAGGCTCCCCAATACTGTGGCTGCCGTCGGTGATGGTGGGAAGAGGTGAGGCCCCTGGCAGGGGTGCATGGTGAGGCGAGTGACTTGAGGTCCTTCAGGGATCTGAGCGGGGTGCCGAGGGCACTAGCTGGGAGCCCTCCTGGGAATAGGCTCGGCAGCCCTTCAGGGCTGGGGGTTCAGCCTGGCTTGTCTGGCAGGGGCCCTGAGGAGTGAGGAGGGTGTCCACGGAGGCCAGCAGGGAGAGATGACACTTGGTTCATGACGCAGTAGCTATGGGGACACGGAGTCTCCACCACCCCAGGCTGGACGAGGGCAGACAGATGGGGAAGGGTCCAGGCAGGGTCTCCCCACTTTCTGCTGAGCTAACTAAGGGCCATGGCAGCAGCTGTCCCCACCTGCTGGCCCTTCCCACAGCCGCTAGCGGCCTCCCAGCCAACTCGCGCAGCTGCCTCCGAAGCCCAAGCAAGCGCACGGGTGGGGGGAGTGTGGGCAGGGGCTTCTGCCATCACCCCTGATCCTGACTGAGCACACAGGCCTCTGCCAGGGGGTCGCAGGGCTGAGTTAAACTCCCAGCCCCGCCAGCAGGCGTAGATCTGGGGCCGC